TCTGTCATGTAAGTATTTCATTCAATGCACACTTCCAGAGAGAGGAGCCAGCATTCTACCTTGGTTTAACGTGATGAGGATCCTCTCGCCCGAGAGGATCCTCATCACAGCTGCTTCTTGTCCTGGGCGGAAGGAGGTGTAGCCCAGCTCCTTCAGGGCTTGGAATACTTCAGGGGTGGTCTCTGCGCACACACACAAAAAGGAAACACACACCCCCACTCAGGAAAGGAGAGAATTTAGGGGTACTGGGCATACCTCCCAGGGTCAGTAGCACAATGACTGCAGATCAAATATTTCTTCCCACATTCCACAGCTTGGAAAAATATTTTTGGGCTACCACTAGCAGTAAAAAAAGAATAGAAAAGGACTTTTTCCAAGTTCTCTCTGAAATTGGCACCCAATGCCACTTTCTTTCACGCTGCTGAAATACCCAATGGCGGGACCGCCTGCAGTAGACACGCCCAACCCTTTTCCGGGGATCCGATGCAAGCATTCAGCACGGCCAGTCCTCAAAACCCAGATGCCTTCTGAGCTGGCCCTTTGGTCTTCCACAGGCACAGCCCCGAGGGACCCTGGGTCCAAACCCCGAGCATCCTTCAGGATGTTTCTCTGACCCTTATCTCTCGCCTTCCCGCCCTGCCCCAGGCTGTAGAGAGGCTCCATCGGCTCCGGTGGGCAGAAAGGTTCGCATGCAGGCCTCTGCGCCTGGAAGTAAACCTCTTCCTCTTGAGGACTTTGCTGATTATTCTCAATATTTGTTGGGGGAAAAGGAAAAACAAGCAGAGATATTCAGTAGTGACCATCTTCCAACACCCCAAGACGAGAAACCCTACAACCCCATGACAAACCAAGGATGAGCAGGGTGCTGGTATGTGCTGAACCCCCACCCACCCCTCCCCAAAGACGCCAGACAAAGGACCCATGCAGTGGTGCCTCAACTTACGAACCTCCCTACTTATGACCATTTTGAGTGACAACCAGCTCCGACCAGATCCTTGGCAGTGTGCAATCCGAGGAGGCTGCCTGCTAAGGTAAGATGCTGCTTTATGTTTTTTAAACTGTTCTTGGTGTTTTTGCAGTGTGGTTTTTGGCTGAGGGGGGGTTATGTTTCTGTGCTGTAATGCGTCTTGGGGGGTTTGTTTGTTTTTTGGTTTCCCCCCATTGGAAATGGGGGGTTAGTTGCTTTTTGGAGTGTTTTTTTCCCATTTCTGATGGGTCTTGGGGGCTTTGTTTGTTTTTTGGTTCCCCCCCCCATTTTCAATGTGTCTTGCATGCTTCCCTTGCTTTTTCCTTTGATTTCTGTGCATTTCCAACCTTGCCCCTTGGTTCTCTGTGCATTTCCAATCTGCTCCGTTTGTTTTCTGTACGTTTGCAATGGGTCCTGCATGCTTGATTGCTTCCCCTCCCCCCCCGGTTGGTTTTTCTGTACGTTTGCAATGGGTCCTGCATGCTTGATTGCTTCCCCCCCCCTTTGGTTGGAAGGGATTAATCGTGTTTCCAATGTCTTGTAGTGTTTTATGTTTTTGATTTTTTTCCCCCTTTGGCTGGAGTGGATTAATTGCACTTCAATGCCTTCCTACGGGAAATGGTGCTTCAATTTACAGAACAGATTATGGTCGTAAGTCAAGGCAGCACTGTAGAAAATGAATGCCTATCAAAGTTGTTTGTCAAAAAGCCTTTGACACACTGAAAACTAAGTTAGCAGAAGCACTTGTTCCTATGGCTCCAGATTTTCAAAAGCAGCTTGTGTTCCAAATTGATGCCTGAGAGTTTGGCATTGGAGCAGTTTTACTTCAAGAGGCAAGTGATGGAAATTTGCATCCAATTTCCTATTTTAGCAGAAAATTGTTACCCAGAGAAAGAACTTCTTCAGTATCAGAGAAGGAAGCCTGGGGAATTATTTGGACAGTGTCCGGAATTACGTCCTTTTCTCATAGGAGGACAATTTTTCCTTCAAGCACTGAAATTTTTGCAGAAGCCCAGAGATGAGTCAACATCTTTTCACTGGAATCTAATACTACAAGATTTTGATTTTGAAAACCAGCACATTCCAGGATGAAGCAATGTTGTGGCAGATGGTCTATCAAGAATGCATTATTATAGGATTTTGATAAACAATCAGTTTGCCTAATACTGCATATTGTGACAGCAGCTAGGATTGTATTTGCAGAACGTTATAAAAATGAAGAAACACCAACAGAAGAAGAGATAATTACCATATATACTTGAGTATAAGCCTAGTTTTTCAGCAATTTTTTTTTTGCTGAAAAAGCACCCCCCCCCACGGCTTATACTCGAGTCATTGTCAAAATTACATATTCTCTCCTGCAGTGCAGGTGTTCTCCAGACACCCTCGCTCATCTACGGGCGCCTGCCTCTCCCCTGCAGTGCGGGTGTTCTCCAGACACCCCCGCTCATTCATCTACGGGCGCCTGCTGCCTCTGCGGGTGGTCCGATGACCCGGATTAAGTACATTGCATTTTTCAGACTCCACAGGCAGACATCCTGCTAGGAGGATAATAGCAGTCTATGTCATAAGCCTAGTTTTTCAGCAATTAACTTTTTCCCGGCAGCATGTCAGTACATATTTCAAAGACCACTCTGAACAGAGGTCACAATGAGAGCATCTTTGTTTACAAGACCAGGAAAGCCCATTCACCCCCCTTCTTTCCTACTTTACCAGTAGCTGCTGCATTTTCCACCCTCAGCTCTTACTCCAGTCAATAGGTTTCCCAGTTTTTTGTGGTAAAATTGGGTGCCTCTGCTTATATTCGGGTCTGCTTATACTCGTGTATATACAGTAAGAAGATTTTAGATTGTGCAGAAACGAATAGACTCACACTGAGAGAAAAAGAAGATTCTGAATACTTTAATACGTGGAATTTGTTCTACAAATGGCTGGAAGATTGGAGAAGGAGTTAAATCACCAAGACACGAAAATAGATAATTATAAGGAAACCCATGTTTAACAAGCACGAATTAAATGTAGATATAGTGAAAAACTAATAAAATGTTATTTTAAAAAAGAATGCATTATGGAGTGGAAGAGTGGGAGGAGGAATGGTTTCCTGGTTGTAATCAGAGTTTATTCAATATTTGTACTAACATGTTTCTCTATTTTCTCTTCCACAGGTCTTGGATTTACACGCAGTTATTACCAAAATAAAACACACACATATATATATTGCTGTTAGACTTACTCTATCTCTGCTTAAGCTAGGACATTGCTAAATGTTGCTCAGTGAAGAGTTATACCAGCTATAATGAATCAAAAGATAATGTAGAAATCTCCTAATTAATTGAGTGTGCACTAAAAATGTGAGTCTGCATGAAACTCATATTTTTAGATTCTGAAAAGGAGGCATGTGGGGAGATGGGTTTTGTAGTAGGACCAAGAGCAGGTGAGAGCCAGGGGTCACTGCAGTTCCCAAGACTTTTCCAGCCAACATTGTGAGTGGAACAACACCCTTGAAGGAAGGGCATACCTGACAAACATCGGCCACTTTCTGGGCTGCAGGCAAAAAAATTATAGCTCTTGGAAGGCAAGGCCAAAGGAGCATCTTTGCCGTAGCACAATGACCGATTTCATCAAAGCAACCCCTTTCCCCATTTCTTCCAATAATGATCCCAAATAGGGAGATATGATTTGTTGCAGATGACGTCCCAGCCGTTCCCAGTTGCCTGGAAGGTGGGAGGCAAAAGGTGACAAGTTTGGCCCCTGGATGATCTCTAACACTTCTCTCCCACCCTGGTCCCATAGACCTCCACTTCACACAGACTGAGGTACTCTCTCCGATGGGGGATGACGATGCTCACGTAGCGTCCCTGGAACCCATTGCAATAGATGGTACTGACGCCTCCCAAGGTGGTCTTTGTGATGGTCCCACACCTGCAAAGAGAATGGCAGGATCAGACCCCACCGGCAACTGCTCTGCATTAAAGAAGTACATAGAAACAATCTAGCCCTCTGTTGCGGATCCATTTACCAACCTCCCCCCACCCTTTCCTGTGGCTGCTCTTTCCGTGGCTCCAGGCATTGGCCTGGCCGTTGACAGAGAGTCAGGGGACCGACGGCTGCTGTCTGAAGATGCTTCGAATGTCCAAATATACAGAAGGGACCGGAGGCACAGAGAGGGACCCTGAGAGCAGCCGTCTCCGTGGGTCAGGCATGGGAATGAAGAGGGCAGAGTCTGAGGGGAAAGGGCAGGGGGTTGACCACGAGGCAGGGGAGGTGAGGCGGGCGCCTCAGTGGGACAACTGCAGGTATTGAGGAAATGAGGGAGCTTCAGGGCTGAGCGACGGGTTCCTAGGAGGTGCCCCTGCCTGTTTTTCTCCAGTCCGAATGTGTCTTGAGGGAAACTCTGATCCCTGTTTCCTCACTAGCCCTTAATGTGGATCCCAGCTGTTCTATCCAGCTGGTCACTTGGAAAGAATGGGTGGATTAGAGAGGGAAGAACTACCAGGTCCCTAAGCTGCATCAAAGGATCTTATGTCCTTGCCCGCAGGTGGATACAACTCCCAGAAGAGATATAGGGGAATTTAGGGAGCTGCCATTCAGCAATGTAAGTCTGCACGCCTCGGATCTTCAGGGCGTTTCCCGGAAAACATTCCCTGCCGAGGGTGAAGCAGGAGAGCCAGACAATGAGGACTTACAAAGAGTTGCCTCCTCCACGGGCAGGCACAGAGTCTCCCACGTAGATTTGGGCTCCGCGGAGTCTCCTGTCACAGCAGTCCCCTCGGTTCTTCAACACCACAGCAGAGATGACGTAGCGGCTGCCCAAGTCCACGTACCACCACGGCCTCAGGTCCCGGTTGGTGTGGGTGCAAGAGCGCCCCTCGTTAAAATGCCTGCTACAATTCCCATCCACGGCGTTTTTTGCGACTGCAAAGGGTGCTTGGGTGTAGAGGGAGGACTGGAAGGTGGGACGTCCTCTGGCCAAGTTGCAGGCTGGTGGAAGGCAACCGGTGAGAGAAATCACATTGGTGAGTCTTAAATATGAGATCTTTAAAAGGCTTTTTTCAAATACTGTCACCATGTATTATTTTGCGTTTAACTTTGTTTCTTAGTACTTTGTTTCTTAATACTCCATGAGGAGAAAGGCAAGATATGAATAATTTAAATAAATAAATACAGTGGTGCCTCGCACAACGGGTGCCTCACACAACGATGAATTCACACAACGATGCCTTTTTCTGTTAAATTTGCCACCTCACACAGCGATGTTTCCTATGGGGGATTTTCACACAACGATGTCTCTTTTTTGTTCCTGTAAAAGTGTCTTACAATGTTTGGAAGCCATTTTAAATGGTTGCAATGGTTAGCCCACCTCCTGAAACCTAAGCAAACTGATTTTGGTGTTGTTCTGACACTTCGTTAATTTATGGTAATTTTTTGTTTTCCCCCCTCATTGAAATGCATGGAGCCAGATCGAGGGAGAAGGTGCAAAGGGAGGTTGCCTGTGGTCACATGGGGAGTGGTGTGTGGGGAGCAAGGTCTGCCAGGAAAGAGCCATGACAGTCTGCACAAGCAGGTCCAGACCAAAGGAAAATAAAACATGGTGGTCGTGGGGGAATGTTGGGGCACATTAAAGACGAAGGGTGTGGCCATCAGACAGGCCTTTGGGCTTTTGTCCTGCTGTTTGGTCCACATTTGGGAGAGGTGGTGGCGGTGGTTCCTTCTTTTTCCTGGTGACCACATTGGAGGGACCATGTACACAAAAACACTACAATGAAACACACAGGAAGAGCGCACCTTTGATCGGATCCCGAGGAATGCAGTTTGGAAGGATAAAAAACAGCCAGATTTATACATCTATGGACATGGTTTTTGTTCCCTCAAAGAGTCTCTGTAAAGGAATAAGGCTGGCCAGGTTTCCTTCACCAGGGCGGGTTATTGTCTCACTTTCCAGTATAGATTGGAGAAGCCAACAGACACAACACAGCTGGGTTTTGCCTCTCTTCCCCCAGGGGAGGACCAAGACCGATCTTATGCAAATTGAACTCCGAAACTGGACAGCCACTGCACAATACCTTCTTCCTATCACCTTGGAAGTCTCCTTTTCACTCAACCTTGTAACCTCTTTGTAAGATAATAAATTGATTTCCTGTCAGAACAATATAACAATGGAACCATGTATTTCCACAATTGCTGTCTATAGACCCATCCCATTGTAAAATTCTATCCCTTCTGTGATTCCTACTCCCATAAAGTTCGGATTCCTTTGTAATCCCATCGCTTCTGCCGATAGGTCATGAACCACCCATTTCTCCTCCCATGCCCTTGTGTAACCAATGTTAGAAAAGTCCTGGTCTTTCCTGTGCAGTTGTTTTTGCCTACACTTCGAGGCATGATGTCCAGCACGCTTTTTATTTAGCTAAACAAAACAGCAACCATTTGAACTCTCTCTCATGTCAAGGTTATTGGTGTTAAAGCTTTGACTCGCTATTCCAGGAGACTAGTTCCTGATTTCAACAACATGAGGTGCATGCCATCACAAACCAACCCTGATTCATATCTACCTGCACCTTTTCCGCTCCCTGTCAAAGTCTACTTTTCTTTTTCTCTTTGGTTGGGGTAGAATTCCTCCATTGGGTTCCATTCCCCCATGTGTGACTGCTGGGGTCAAACCAAAAAATTTGGCTAACTATCTCTTTGCTGAAACCGCTTAACCTTCTTGAGAAACGGGAATATTTCCAGCCACTTTCCTGCAGAGACAAGGGGAGTGAAAGTTTTTCATTTCATTTTTATTTTATTTTATATACATTTTAACCTTGCCCAACTACGTAAATGGAAAGCCACTACTCTGGGTGGCTATCAAAACAAGGTCAAAATAGTGTAGTAGTAGTAGTAGTAGTAGCAGTAGTAGTAGTAGTAGTAGTAGTACAGCAGCAGCAGCAGCAGCAGCAGCAGCAGCAGAAACAACAACAATAATAATAGAAGCACCAATAAAAATTCAAAAAAGGCATCATAATAGACATGATGAGTAAAAATACAATAACCTTTAAAAGAACAATACAATGACCAAAAAACAGGTGGCCAGCAGAGAGAGGTACACAAATTCAAAACAGAACTAGTCAAAGAACAAAATTGAAAAAAATTAATCTGGGGCAAGCTTTGCCAGAACAGCCAGGTCTTAAGTTGTCTCTGAAAACCAAGAGGAAAGGGGTTCCGTTGCACCTCTGATGGGAGAGAATTCCAAAGTGATGTGGCCACCACAGAGAAGGCCTTGTTTCGAGTAATAGATTTCTGGGCCTCCCCTGGGGTGGCCACTCAAAGCATCCCAGTATATGAGGTGTGGGTGGGATATGTAGACATTTTAAGGGAGAAGCGCTCAGACAAGTAGCAAGGTCCTAAACCTCTGAGAGTTTTAAATATTAGCGTAAGCAACTTGAACCTGGCCTGGAAACCAACAGCCAGCCAGAGCAGATGGACCAGGACCATCGGTATGCGCACATATTGCAATGTTCCAGAGACCAGCCGGTCAGCTGTATTCTGCACCTGTGGTAGCTTCTGAACCGCCTTCAAGGGCAGCCCCATGTACAGAGTGTTGCAATAGTCTATTTTCAAGATTACAAGAACATGGATTGGTGTTCTTAGGGACTTCCTGGTGACTCAGAGCAGGCCACGATGGCAAACCTACTAACCTTGATGGAATTTTTAGATACCATGCTGGCCTCTCCTCTCTGACCCTCCAATCTGCCCTGATGACAGATGGAATAATCTGGAGGGCAGATGTGATGGAGAACTACCTTCTCCTCTGCATCCATCCAGGTCTCTGTAACACATGATGTCCCGTGTCCATTAGCAACAGTTAAAATGAAACGCAAAACCTCCTCTCCCTTCCCTTTTGCAGGGAAGAAGAAAGGAAGGTCCCCATTTCTTAAGATGTTAAGGCAGCTTGGGACAGGCATGGTGGAGGAAGAGATGGGAGGGGAGGTTTTTTGGGTTGTGGTCTTGTTTTGTTTTACTTTCCCTGTAAAGGAAAAGAAGATTGGTTTAGGTTGTGCTGAGTGCTCATTTGAGATGTGGGGTGGTTTATCTTTGCAAGTGGATGCAAGGCCTGTTCCTAAAGACATGTCATACCTCAAAGCAAGCCTGCTTGCAGAAACCAGGACTGATCCACGCCAGTATGTGTAACACATACCTGGATCTCTTTTGTGGGAATTTGTTTTCAGACTGGTATGATGATGACCACAGAGTAGTCTGGCCATCTCTGGAAACACAGGCTTTGCTGCCTTCTTAGAAAGGACTGCTTTTCTGTTTTAGGTCTTGGGCAGAAAGCCAAATACACCTGCGAGCAACACGTGTGAACACGCTGTTCATCTGCAGTGTTTCATTGAGGGTCAAAAGGAAACAAGGCTTTTGCCCTTCATTAAGATGCTGTTCCAGTTTCAGTTGTCAGAAAAGCCCCTTCCCCATCCCCCAAACCAATTTCCCCAGTTCTTACCAATGCCTCGAAGCTCTGGTCTACAACTCTGGGTTGCTCCGGGCCCCACCAACAGTGCCAGGGCCGACAGCCAGGTCCAGAGGGTGGGCATCCTGCAAAGGAGAAGGAGAGAGGGCGGTGAGAGGTGTTTCTCTCCCTTACGAAGATGGCCTGCAGTGGTGGGAATGAGAGCGAAGGAGGACCACCAGAAAGCCATGCGTGTGCACAAGTCAAACCTCTTCCTAAACTCACCAGGGATGCTTTAGATGGGGGATGATTTCAGCTTGCTGACTCCTAACAAGAGCACATCAGGAGAATAAAACTGAGGCAGACCCCAGGGAGTGAGCAACCAGGGAGAGCTAACAGGACTTTGACAGGAGAGAGGCAGTAAGGAAAGGGTCCACCAGAGGTTGGGACAAAAGAAAAAAAGGGAGACCAAGTCAGTGGGCAGCCTTCAAGGCAGGCAATTCGAAGGAAACAGCCATGATAGATAAATAGAAGAAAGTTTTTAAAATGCATAATGCTTGTCTTTGTGCCTGAGAACATCACAGCAGACGCAGGTAGCAAATGTAAACAGGTAGCACCGTTGTAAGAAAAGGTGAAAGAACTGGAGGAGTGAGTTAGAGCTTAAGGCTATAAGAGAAGATGGAGGGGGACATAGACAGAACTCCTGAGCAGCAGGTGCTGCCACAAAGGGAGGCCCTTGAGTTGGAAGGACATCAAGATAAAACAGAGGAGGAGGAGAATGCTGAGGAGAGAGCCAACAGAGCAGAAAAGAGTCCCAGTTGGGATCAAAAGAAGGAGAGGGCGCTCTTCACCAGTGGAACTGCAGAACCACTTTGCAGATTCTTGGAGAGGGGTCCGCCAGGCGGCGTGCAGAGGAGAACCCCCAGGAGGACGTGAGGGAGGCCGAGGTTCAGTCAAGCAGAACCCACATTAAACAACAACAAGAAGAGAAGAGGAGAGGCGCTGCCGTAGGAGACTCTTTACTTTGTGGGACTGAAACCAAAATATGCCCAGAAGATCCACGGGCCCGCCAGGTATGCTGTCTTCCTGGAGGATGGAGCAGAGATGGGACAGAAGGATTGCCATGACCCTTCAAGCCCACAGATGCCTGTCGCTTTCTTCTCATCCACGTGGGAGCAAATGACGGAGCCAAGAAGAGTTCTGAAGAAATCAGGTCAGATTTTTGAAGCTCTGGGAAGAAAACCCAAGGATTTGGGGCTCAGAAAGACGCTTCCTCCAGGCCACCAGTACTCAGTAGAGGAATAGAAAGGGAAAAAAAGGGGGAAAAACTGGGCCTGTTTAGAAGACTGAAGGGGTACAGGATAGCACTTTTCAAGCACTTGAAAGATATACAAAGGAGGGGCAGGATCTGCTCTTAAGCATCCCAGAGTGCAGGACATGTAACAATGGGCTCAAGTTATAGGAAGCCAGATTTTGGCTGACTATCAGGAAAAACTTCCTAACGGTTAGAGCAGTACAGTAATGGAACCAGTTACCTCGAGAGGTGGTGAGTAGGGCTCCAACCCTGGAGGCATTCAAGAGAAATTTAGACAACCACCTGTCCTGTCTGCTTTGATTTGGATTCCTGTCTTCAATGGGAGGTTGGGTTCAGTGGCCTCAGAGGCTCCATGATCCAACTCCATGATCCAAAGGTTGCATGATACAAGCCCTGGAATGCCATGTCCAGTCTCTGGCCAAATGGGACCACCGAGGAGAGAGGAAGGGAGGAAGGCGGCTTTGGATAAAACAGAAGTTCAAAGGAGATGTGTACATCTGTCAAAAGCTTTCTCTCGTTCGCTCGCTCTTTCTCACTGTGTCACCTTTTGGGAGTTGACTTAGAGCAAAGTGACTCTGTGAGGCCTCCCAACCAAAGACACTCCCAAACTCACCTGGCCTCACTTCCTTGGAATGAGCAGAAACGTATTTGCTGCTTTCTCTCCATTGTCTGGCAATCAGGGCTTCTTGCTTTCAGGAGGGCAGGGAGATCTCTGTGATTCGCTTCTGAGCGAGCCCTTTTGAGTCCCCTGCTTGGGGGCGGGGGGGCGGGGCAGATCCTGCCTGCCTCTGGAAAGGAAGCCACATGAACAGAGAGATGGGCCCAATGTTTCCTTGGGGGGTTTGGCTTCCCATCTGGGGCTTCCGCTTTGCTGTTGAATGTGGCCAACGATGGAGACGTGACCCTTTCCCCCTCCCCCTTAGCTGATTCTCTGCAGAAGTGGTCAATAAGGAACACGGATCCTTCAGAGGTAGACCTTCAAGGCAAACAGGCCGTGAAGGAGGTGTTGGCTCTGCTGTGCTCTGCTCTCATGCCAGTATTCCTGAGGGTGCAAAATGTGGATGGGGCTAGCAGTGGAATGTAAAGCTCTGTGCACCCACCCCTCTAGAGATTTAACTCCCACCCCTGTCTCCCACAAGGAACCCTTGCACTGGGGCACCATGAGCACTTGTGACTCTCAATGGGAAATTAAAACCTCTGCACAGATCTTGCCTTCCCCTTTCATGCGTCTTCTGTAGGGGAATCCGTTGCAGCCGAAGCGAGGCAAGTCCATCATTTTAGAACCTCTGAGTATTTCCATGTTCTCTTCCATTGGAAGTCTTTTGACACTCACGGTTAGCAAAAGGAGGGCCTTGCCTGTTCCTTCACAAGCTGTTCTGCAGAAGGAGAGAACCCACTGAGCTCTTGACGGAGACATGGACGGTGTTGCTGAGTTTGGAGTTAACCCAACTGTCATCGAGTCCCACTCCAGCCCCCCTGTGGATGCAGGAAATCTGTACAGTAGCTGAAGCATCACCGATGCAGTGCCAGATCCAACCTCTGTTTTAAAACCTCCAAGGAAGGAGAGCCCACCACCTTCGAGGGCAGTCCGTTCCATGGTCAAGCACCTCTTGCTCACAGGGAGTTCTTCCTGATATCTAGCCGAACCCAATTATCAGAAAATAACTTTTATTAACCATATTAATCAAGACATGTTTTCATAAGAGGCCCATGGGATTTCTACTTTGATCTCTCATCCAATTGCAAGAGGTTATTGAGAAAGTGTTACAAAGAGGAACGGGATCAGAGGTTGACCACAGACAAAGAACTCGCTTGCTGCGCGACCCGTGGGAGACTGTGAAACCCGGAGTACTTAGGAATCATCATAACACCTTTGCAAAATCCTACGGGCTTTTCTGTAGACGCCATACCTGACCGTGAGCCTGTGGAAGGGCAGAAAGAGGAACTGAGTGTCTTCGTGGAGTGTTGACACAACTGGAGTTCAAAGGATCCGAATACCAAACAGAGGTCACTAATTATCCCACGTGTGAAGTGCAACCAGACACCGCCGTCTCTTACACCCTCTTTCAATAGGTGACCTCTGTGTTCCCCCTCATAGAATCCAAGAATAATGGAATTGGGAGGGGGGGTCTAAAAGGTCATCGAGTCCAAACCCCTTCTTGAGGCAGGAATCCAAATCAAAGCAGATCTGACAGATGGTTGTCCAGTTTTCTCTTGAACGCCTCCCTCCGGTGTTGGTGCACTCACCACTTCTTCACGTCATTGGTTCCATTGTCACACTTTTCTAACAATTAGGAAGTTTTTCTTGATGCGCGGCCGAAATCTTGCCTTCCTGTAGCTTGAGCCCATTATTGGGATGCACTCTGGTATGATCTAGAACACATCCTGCCCATCCTATATGGTTATCTTTCAATATTTGAAGATTTCTATCCTTTCTAACCTCCGTCTTCTCTTCTTAAGGCTAAACACACCCGGTTCTTTCAGACTTTCCTCATAGGGCTTGGTTTCCCGCCCCTTACTTTCCTCATAGGGCTTGATTTCCTGCCCCTTAATCATCCTTTTTACCTTCCTCTGAATTTGTTCCAGTTGGTCAGCATCCTTCTTGAACTGCGGTGTCCAGAACTGCACACAAGACTCAAGGTGAGGCCTAACCAGTGCTGAATAGAGGGGAGCCCATGCAATCGTGAGACTAGACTTCTGTTAATGCATTCTGAATTAGCATTTGCCTTTTCTGCAGCCACATCATACTATGGCTCATATTCAGCTTGTGATCTACAACAATTCCAAGAGCCTTCTTGTATTGCTGACCCAGGCTACCCCCATCTTGTAACTTTGCACTTACCCCTATTGAATGTCATTATTGCTCCAGCCTATCAAGATCATTTCGAATTTCATGTCTGTCTTTCAGGGTATTAGCTGTTCCACCTGATTTTGTGTCATCTGCAAGTTTGACAAGTATTCACCGCACTTACTCAGGCAAGTCATTACTAAAAATGTTGAAGAGCACTGGACCCAGGACTGAGCCTTGGGCTATCCCACTTGTTACCTCCTCCCAGTTGGAGAATAAGCCATTGAGAAGCACTCCTTGAGTACATTTCTATAACCAACAGTGTATCCACCTGACACTTGTTAGCTTGCTGTTCAGAATATCACGGGATGTTGTGTTAAACGCTTTGCTGAAGTCAGTTCAGAATATCACGGGATGTTGTGTTAAACACTTTGCTGATGTCAAGATATACTACCTCTACAGCATTCCCACCATCTACCAGGTAGGGTTACCCAATCAAAAAATGAGATAAAATTAGTCTGTTCTTGACAAATCCATGTTGGCTTCTAGTTGTCACTGCATTGTTTTCAAGGTGCTTGAAGAGTGACCGCTCAATAATTTGTTCCAGAATCTTCCCTGGGATTGATGTCAGGCTGACCAGTCTGTAGTTCCCAGGTTCTTCCTTTTTGGCCTTTCTGAAGATTGGGACAACGTTAGCTCACCTCCAATCATCTGGCACTTTACCCATTGATTCTAGACAATAATAGTGATTCTGCTATCTTTTCATCCTGTTCCTTCCTTGTTTTGAGACCTCATATTTTGTATGAATTTACCCAGCCTTGATAGCTTTGCTGACAATGGGAACATGCTTACTTAGGGTTCTGCTTGTCCTTGTGCTGTTTTAGCAAGAGAATCACTCCCCTTGCAGCTTTATGATCACTTACAACTTGTTCCATGTTAATTGGCCTTTGCAATATAGGCAAGCCTCTATGTTTCTATACCCCTTCACAGATTGGTGCCTTGTCGTAGCGAAGGGCCTTGAGTAACTCAGACAAGCGATGGGCTATGCCGTGCAGGGACACCCAAGACGGACAGGTCATAATGGAGAGTTCTGACTAAACGCGATCCACCTGGAGCAAGAATTGGCAAGCCACTCCAGTATCTTTGCCAAGAAAACTCCATGAACAGAAACAAAAAGCTAAAAGATATGATGCTGGAAGATGAGACCCTCAGGTCGGAAGGCGTCCAACATGCTACTGAGGAAGAATGGAAGACAAGTAGCTGCAAAGCTGATGAAGTGGTTGAGCCAAAGCCAAATGATGCTCAGCTGCAGACACGCCTGGAAGTGAAAGGAAAGTCTGCTGCAGCAAAGAATACTGCATAGGAACCTGGAATGTAAGATCTATGAACCTTGGGAAGCTGGAGGTGGTCAAACAGGAGATGGCAAGAATAAACATCGACATCCTGGGCGTCAGTGAACTAAAATGGAGGAGAATGGGCGAAATTCAATTCAGATGATTATCATGTCTACTATTGTGGACAAAAATCCCATAGAAGGAATGGAGTAGCCCTCATAGTCAACAAAAGAGTGGGAAAAGCGGTACTGGGATACAATCTCAAAAATGATAGAATGATTTCAATACGAATCCAAGGCAAACCTTTCAACATCAGAGTAATCCATGTTTATCCACCAACCACTGATGCTGAAGAGGCTGAACTTGACCACTTCTTTGAAGACTTACAACACCTTCTAGCACTTACACCAAAGAAAGATGTTATTCTCATTATAGGGGACTGGAATGCTAAAATAGGGAGTCAAGAGATAAAAGGAACAACAGGTAAGTTTGGCCTTGGAGTTCAAAACAAAGCAGGGCAAAGGCTAATGGAGTTTTGTCAAGAAAACAAGCTGGTCACCACAAACACTCTTTTCCAACAACACAAGAGGCGACTCTACACATGGAAATCACCATATGGGCAATACTGAAATCAGATTGATTATGTTCTCTGCAGTCAAAGATGGAGAAGCTATATACAGTTAGCAAAAACAAGACCTGTAGCTGATTGTGGCTCTGATCATCAGCTTCTTATAGCAAAACTCAAGCTTAAACTGAAGAAAGTAGGAAAAACCACTGAGCTAGTCAGGCATAATCTAAACCAAATCCATTATGAATACACAGTGGAAGTGAAGAACAGATTTAAGGAACTAGATTTGGTGGACAGAGTGCCTGAAATGAATAAATGAATAAATGAATGAATGTTGGGATCTCTATTCCTTGTTCTCTCAAACTGAAGAATAAGCTGGAGGAAGACCTTCTCTGTTTCTTCACCACCTGTTCTGTACAAGGAGATAATTCACAGAGCTCTTAACAGAAACATGGGCATTGCTGTTGAGCTTGGAGCTAACCCAACTGAGTAACTGACTCTAGCCTGTTGCAAATGCAGGAAATCTGCAGCTGAAGCATCACCGATGCAGTGCCAGATCCAACCTCTGTTTTAAAACCTCCAAGGAAGGAGAGCCCACCACCTTCCGGGACAGTCCGTTCCACAGTCAAGCACCTCTTACCACCAGGGAGTTCTTCCTAACATGTTGAACCCATTTGATGGAATCTAATTTTTATTAAACATATTCTGAGAATCGTTGAACTGCCAAGCTGGAAGGGACACTCAGGATCGCTGAGTTGAGCCTCTGTCAAGGAGACTCAGTGGGGAAATTAGCTCCTAGGAGCCTCTGTCAAGGAGGCTCAGTGGGGAAATGAGCTCCTAATCTCTGGCTCTGCAGCCAGAGACCTGAACCCTTGAGATATCCAGATTAATTTCATATATTAATCAAGAAATCTTTTCATAAGAGGCCCATGGGATTTCTACTTTGATCTCTCATCCAATTGCAAGAGGATATTGAGAAAGTGTTAAAAAGAGGAACAGACCAGAGGTTAACCACAAACAGAAAACTCACTTGCTGCAGAACCCGTGGGAGACTGTGAAACCTGGAGTACTTAGGAATCATCATAACACCTTTGCAAAATCCTATGGGCTTTTCTGTAGACGCCATACCTGACCGTGAGCCTGTTGAAGGGCAAAAAGAGGAACTGAGTGTCTTCGTGGAGTGTTGACACAACTGGACTTCAAAGGATCTGAATACCAAACAGAGGTCACTAATTACCCCACGCGTGAAGGGCAACCAGACACCGCCGTCTCTTACACCCTCTTTCAATAGGTGACCTCTGTGTTCCCCTTCATGTGTCTGAAGAAGTGGTCTTGGGAAGGTCCACAAAAGCTTGTGTGAAAATAGAGTAATGGTCTTTCAGGTGCCACTACATTTTTGTTCTTTCTTATTATTTTATTTTTCTTTTGGTTTTGCCTGAAAAGTGTCTTAGGACTGTGGCGGTAGTTGGAGGAACCCTAAGATAACACCCTAACCTGGGTGGGTTGGTTTGGGTTGGGTAAGGTTTCCTTGTTTACTCCACCCAGCTAGCCCCAGAGCCACTATTCTGGGTGGCAAACAGATCACAATAATGCAAAATCCAAACAGTCGCAAGAAAAAACACATAAACTACATAAACAAGAAACACAATGTCTTGAAATAATATAACTAATAAAGAACAGAGATTATAAAATAATTAAAAATATTGAATACAGTAATATGAGGCAGCCAAAACAGGGCAAGTTCAAAAGCACACACACTTAAAAAGGCCCCTGAAGGTGGGCTTTGTCCAGGGAAGAAAGAGAGGCTGCCAGAGAAGGAGGTGGAGAGAGAAGAGGCAAAAGGCGGTCAATTGCAGTGATCTGGGGAGGCGGGGAGAAGAAAGGGCTGTCAAGCAGGAGCCGTGAAAGTCTGCACAAACAGGCCCAAACCAAAATGAAAATAGAAAACAGGGGGAAGAAGTACTTTTGCACCTTAAAAACGAAGGGTGTGATCCATCACACCTTTGTCCTATGGTCTGGTCCAGATGGGGGAAGGGCTGGTGGCCTCCTTTTCCTGGCCACCATATGAAGTCTGTGCCATCCTGAACAACCCCTGATTGATGCCAACCTGCACCTTTTCCAGTCCTTGCCAGAGGCTACCCTTTTTTTTTGGTTTGGTTTTGGTTGGATTCCAGCTAGGGTCAAAACAAAGTGTCTGGCTGCCTTGTCCCTGAGCCGAAGCGGCTTCACCGTCTTAAGGAATGGGAAGTTACCCGACCACTTGCCTGCAGAGGCCAAGGGAGAGGAAGTTTTCCATTTCTTTTTCCTTGTTGCTTGTGTCGTAGGCATCACTGATGTCAGTGAGCAACAAGGAAAAAGAAATGCAAAACACCTCCTCTGCCTTCCCTTCGACAGGCAAGCAGAAAGGATGCTTCCCATTCCTCAAGATGATGAATCAGCTTGGGCAAAGCATGGAGGAGGAGGAGAACTCAAGAGGCAGGAGGGGAGGATTTTGTTTTGTTTTGTTTTGCTTTTGATCAGATTGGTTTACTAAAGGTAAAAGTGTCAGACAATGAAGCATTTTATCCCTTTATCTGTTCACTCTGTACACAGAACCAGAGATGGGGATATTCATATTCAGAGACGAATAATACCCCTGCAGAGCTGACGGCGGTGGTAGCCTTCCAATCGCTCCCCGAGCGCTGCTCTCTTTCCACTCATCTAGCCAGTCAGCAGCCGTCCAGGGAGATTCGTCCTCCCTCTCTGTGCCTGGAATTGGCTCCATGAGCGAGGAAAGAGAGCGGGAGGAAAGGGAGCCATGGGAAGGTGGACCGAGGTGGCTGCTCCCACCTTGGCCCCCTGCAGCCATTCACCAGCCTCAGAAGAACGGAAGGCTGAGTCAGGCTGGAGCTGGCTTCCTGAATCCACTGGGATCGAACACAGTGTTGATATATCCGCGAAGGCTTTCACGTGTTAATATTTGAAAAAAAATGGAGTTTAGGGGAGGGCTGGAGCGATTATGGAGTTACAGGGTGAAAGTGCTTTGAAAATAAAACTGGTTTTCATAATGCGGCTCTGAGTCAGTTGTTTCTGAAGGCAAGGATGCTGTTTCCAGTCCGCTTGGAAACCAAAATCAGTCCCTGACCATGCTGCTTTGAAATATTCCATTCATTGTAGGACCGCTTTAATAAATATGTGAACAAAACCATGGAATGTTTGGGTTTAAATTTGTAAACATAAATAAGATGATTGCAAATGGCAGGCAAAAGAATGAAACTGCTCTTCAAATAAAAAATTTTTTAAAACAATTTCCTGTAGTCTTATAGCACCATCTTTTGGAAAACGTAAAAGTGTCAACTCCTGGCATCGTAAATTTTAAAATCATGATGCTTCTTAGTTTTAGATGATATATTTTAAAGGTGTATTCTCTGCCATTTATGGGACATTAAGCTTTTGCATTTTACAGTGTTACCTAAAACACTTCCATCATTATGTTTAACCCTTTAAAAGATGCTCCAATATTTTTGCTTTAAGTATGTGCTTACGGCTTAAGTTCGGTTTTCATGGCTGTAATAATATTATCCATATGCTGGATAATATAACTCTGAACTAATTTTGTACGTACAGAACCAGAAGCAATGTAGTAAATAAATAAAGCTTGTAGAAATAGCAAGCTGATGTTGCGTCATTGGAACCAATGAAATGCTTATACTGTATGTTGATTCTGAGATGATATGGTGGTCTGTGATTATCTGATTTCAATCTGGGGTTAGCCCTTAACTGGGATAAATGTGAGCTGTAATGAACAACAGGCTCCTGATTTTTCCCTGGGGGGAGAGGGGCCTA